TGCGAGCGACTCGCAGAGCTCATTGGTAGCCAAGCTTCTCATCGTCTTCGTCTCCTTATTTGTTTTCTTCTACGCCGCCTCGTGGGGTCCGGTGACCTGGGTCGTTACATCAGAAATATATCCTCTCAAGATTCGCGCAAAGTCTATGTCGGTTTCCACGGCGTCTAATTGGTTATTAAATTTTGGCATCGCCTACGGAACGCCCTTTATGGTGGAAGAAGGGAACGGTTATGCCGCCTTGGGGGCCAAAGTCTTTTACGTGTGGGGAGCTTTCTGCGTGCTTGCCGCCATCTTTGTATACGGTATGATTTACGAGACGAGCAAAATCAGCCTGGAGCAGATCGACGAGATGTACGAGCGTGTCCCCTTCGCGTGGAAGAGCAAAGATTTCGAACCGAGCTGGAGTTTCCAACAGTTGCGCGACGTCGGATTTGCAGATAGCGGTATCCCACCACCCGAACACGAATTACAAGCCTCTAGAACGACGACGACGACTAGCGAGAGCGTACAGACGATACATACTACAGATTCTAACCCTGAAGAGAGCCAGTCGGAAGAGGATAAGATAATAAACCAAATGGGTATGGGTAATGTCGACTTCAGCTATTGATCCTCGATCCTTTCTCATCGTCTGTCGGTACGCAACCGCCCCTGTCTTAGTTATGACCGCCTCCACCGAAGAGGCTTGGGATTTTCTGTTCTTTGGTGTTACATTGGATATATATATATATAAGCGTAGGAGTTTAACGAGACGGAGTTTACGGCAACGGGAGTTGGACTGCTGGGGAATCATTCACAATTGGGATTTCTGGGACGGCGGGCTTTGGTTTGGCGGGTACTACGGGCGGCATCATGTCAATTAGGCGACACATCATTTTGGGAACAATCACCGGTTCGCGTTGGGCATATAGCAACCGCCTCGAAAAAAGGCACGAGGCGTGCACGGCCCTTGGGCCGCATAGGTTCCCCCCTCCTTTTTTTCTTCTCGTCTAGGAGCTCAGGCTTATTCCTCGACATGTCCGTATCGTAGGCCCAGCCGTCTTTCGCGCTGCGTTCTATACCGCAGTGTAGGTGGTCTCGAGGGAGATCCTACTGTTTTTGCGGGCACCCACAGCACGGCTTGAATAGGTACCTAGATAGGCGGTCGAGTTGATCTGTTGCTTAGCTGCTTGGCGAATTTAAAAAAGATGAAATGTTCGAATATTTTTGTCTGATCTACTGTGACCGTTAAGGTAGTGTCGTGTCGAATTGAGCTCGTAGTTACTTCCTTCATACGATATAATCGTAGATATTAGCGCGGAAATATAATTTCTGTAGGTTGAGTATGTGCTGTCGTCGATAGGTGGGAGTGAGATTCCCCTATTTTTGGAAGTTGGCAGCTTCTCCTTAATAGGGGATTGGGAGGGGAGATAGAGATATACCCTCCTCTAATTTGATCTTAAACCCCCTATTCACTCACGATCCTCGCTAAAGTAAATTCTGCAGGCGAGTTATGCTAGAGACTTTAGGGGTGGGTTTCCTGCTTGCTTCGCTTAGAAATAGCGTAGGGAATTAAGTACGGCGCCGTACGGGTATCTCGGTAGCCCGAGGGAAGTTGATCTTCCTCCCGTTTTAAGCTTGACTTAATTAAACCTCTAACATCAGGTAGGTTAGTGTCCATCGTAATTATACCAAATATTCCCGTCTGTACCTATGTAGTCACATCATCATCAAACACGAAGAATAAGACATGTGTTGCTATCTATACCCGTATACCTGTAATGTACCTAATGCACCTTGATATTATTTATAACGCACCCCCAGCCATCCCATCATATCAATATCAATATCAATACCCGGGAACAGCCAGTTCTAGGACCAACAACGCGCGCTAATTCGCTCTCTTGTTTACTCCTTACGCTTGCTCGGCCAACAGAACAGATACAATATCCATCTACCTAGGTAGGTATCCTCGTCTTTATCCTCAGGGTCTTCCATATTTGCAACCCCAGTACCGCTACGAAGAGAATTTCCTTTGATTAGCCTCATATTAGCATAACAAGCCCCTCTACCGGCTTGTATTCCCTTTTCTCGCTCGCTAGCCAGCCATATATTGGTTCTCCTACCCCCTATTTCCTATGTATTCCCTTCTTCCCTTCCTTGTTGTTTCTTTCCCAAAGAAGTATAGGTAAAAGAAGAAGAACCTAAACGCAAGAAAAGGGGGGACGCCTGTGAAATTATACATACGTCTAGGTATTGCAGCCATTACACACAGTATAAACACGATTCCATCACTCGCCCTTACCCTTTATACGTGAGGTACGCGAAAAATAGCAATGCCATCCACACCACGCGCCAGGTCGTCGTCCATATCTCCCTACTAACGACCCCCAGCGTATTTCGCGACCGCGACGCCGGTTTCCACGTGTCGCTGCTGCGCTCCTTATCGTCGTAATAAGCGTCCCTCCTAATTTCTATGCGAGGACCCTTATTCTGACCCCATCCCCATTTCCCGGAGTTAGCTTTCGCTTTGGTATTGGGCGAGGCGGCGCGTGTTTGTGATGCCAGCCCGTTGGTTATGGATTGGCCGCGGGGTCTTGTGGACGACACGCGGGCCGAGGGGAACTTTGACGAAGATGTCCTTGATGAACTTGGCGTCATGTCGGAAGCGAACCTGTCGTCACCTTCAGTCTTGGCTTTGAATATCGGGAGTAGTGCTGATGATGGGTGTTGGGCAGGTTCTAAGGCGAACGGCTGGAGATTGAAGACGGGGAGGAGGAAGGCGCGCGCTACGAGTATTAGTACGGTTAACACGGCAAGGGCGGCGTACGTCATGAATGTCGAGAGCTGTTGTGGGAGTAGGCAGAGGTGAGTTTGCAGTGTAGCCTTCGGGGAGCCCGGGAGAGGGTTTCCCTTGTCATCGATGGGGTTGTACATAGAAACCATCTGGAAACCCGGCGTCGGCACCCCCATGGCCATGCTGAAACTCTTGACCGTGATCTCGCGGACGTTTCCCTGCTCCGGCGTGTGTACCACCTCGCAGTAATCATGGTCATCTCCGGAAAATGCATGTATTACGTTGCCGATGTTCTTTACCAGCCTTTCAGAATCTTCCGGATTTAGTACATTCTGGTATTGATAACCGCCTGAGACGCTAATGGCATTTCGGTGATCCGGGATTACGGGCCCTGTCTGGCCTTTGGGTGGGTTTGTCGGAGGCCAGTGCTCTCTCATCGGACCGCAGGGTGTTCCTGGATCTCGGTATAGAGGTACGTGCGTTAAGAGGACGGTCGGGAGATCGGGTGCACCCTCTCCTGGATCTATAGTCGGCAAGTTGTTATAGTCTGCTGTTTCGATATCTTCAACTTTGTGCTTGAAAGCCAGCTCCTCTACTTCACCCCTCCAAAACCGTAACTCCTTCTGAACGGCCCTTCGCTTCGTCGCTTGAACTTCTTTCAAAAATTGCTGGACTGGGCCGTAGATAGGCTGCAGATCGACCTGGCCTTTCATGCTCGAGGTGCCAGCGCTCAGAGACAGTGTGTCCACGGACACAAACGTGTGGTTTCCGATGACATCAACCCTGTTCGTCTCTCCGAAATATGCATTAAATCGATGCCTCGCGGGAACCTTCACCTCAGCCCCAAAACCTAAATCGTGATTCCCCGGTAAACTTGAGATGAGTTTTCGTCCTCGCTGTCCCGGGCCGGGGAAAACACCCCCCAGATTCCAGTTGTCGTAGAATATGTTGCCGAATCTCGCGTACTCCCGAAGCCAGTAATCGTCACCGTATTTTCTATGCCATTCCTTCAAATATTTTCTCTCTTCGGCCGGCCGGTGCTCTTTTGCCCATTCCGGATCTTCGAAGTTCCCGTTTCTCGTCTTCCACTCTCTTCCGCCGTCAAAAAGGTCTCCCAGAAAGAAGACAGTGTCTGGATGTAGTTGCTTCTGTAATTGTATATATGATTGCCGCATGTAATTATCGGTTATGGTCATGGTGAGGGGGTTGAGGGGCCACGGGCGACCGGGGTAGGAGTGAGGATCGATAATCTGGGGATCAGCGACGAATATTAATCGATGCGGAGTTACTCCAGCTGGCTATAAAATTGTAATGTGTTAATGAATTTGCTTTGCGCTTCTATACCAATATGAAGAGCCCCTGAGACTTCTCGACATCTCGAACTTACCCAATCTTCCCAATGGTCCCAGTCGCAACTCCGTATCCGACTTGCGAATACCCAGCGTTCCCCCCATAGCATAACGAGTATCCAGAGAGCTACGAGCAGATGCGGGAAGCTCAAGAGACGTTGACGGGTCATATTCTTCCTGATTTGATGCGCTGCCTTCATAGCCCAGCTCCAAGCTACTTGTCGACCCCTTCCGTTTATGTATCCCCAGAGTTGCCCCAGCATAACTCCGAAGCAAGCGAGTATCTCGTCGCAGATGGATTGGGGCTCGTTATTATTCATGTAGCCGTAATCATAGGAGGAAGATGTAGGCAGGGGAGACGACGGGTAGCCGTAGCCGTTGCCGTTGCTATAAGGCGGCACCATTGCGATCGACATTGGTAGCCATAGGCGGATACGTAGCTGTATACTGGTCCGTGGGGATCACAGCTTGTTAGCTCCTTTCGTACTTTGTATGAATTTCCAAGCTATATCTTCCGAGGTAGGTAAATAATAATATTAATCAAGAGCACTTTAGGCCCTGTTCTAGAATTGTAGACTTCTAGAAAATATGTATGTAATAAGGTATTAATTAATTAACGTCCCTAAGAACGTGGAGCGTCGCCAAATCGTAGTGGAAAGATGGACCCTTGGTGTTACCTTAAAATGATACGCTATAACTTTATTTTTTCTGTGGGGACTGCCAGCTACTGCGCCCATGCGCCCCCCCTTTCTTCGCACGGTCCAGATCTAAATCTAGCTCGGATACCGTTTAAAGGCATGTTAGCCCTAACACGGAAATAGTATCACATATGCTGTTATCCCAATGTACAACCTACTCCCTTCCAAGACATCTTTAAAAGAGAATAGGTCAATGATCAACATCATCTTGTCTTGAACTTTTTAAACCCGAAGGAACTGTGTTATCAAAGTTGAATATTTATGAGAGCTTCCCTGGATTTGAAACCCCTATTCTCTGGTTCGCCTCTTCTCCAGTATATGAGTACCTATGTGGCAACATCTACGACACCAAAACTCCGGGTGTTCAGTGGCTTACGATATGCTAAGGTTAAGCGATGAGACAATAAATTAAAACTGGATATCATCTCCGTAGAGAAGCAAGTATATTTGTGTACAACTACTTGTTCGGTTTATAACCTTCGTGGTTAAAGAGTGTACCAGTATAATCCGATATCTCTCATGTCAGCATGCCTGGAGCGCTCTTCTGATAAGAGCACTTCCAGGCGGGAATCTCATAAAGTCCGGGGAATACGCCATTATGACCACGCCCAATCGCCGTATAGGGATATCAAAGGTATCAGAAAAGACCCGTATGCGCAGGATTATAGCGTCCTTGCTGCGTGCGTAAAGAGTGAACCAAAATAAGATACATAAGCCTGAATAGGCCGAGTGGGTAAGTTTGCTAATGCCTAAAGAGGGCATAGAATTAAAATGTCCAAGTGAATGATTCTTTGACATCAAACGGTATCGCATGCCTGTAGATTAAACCGGTTAGTGATTGTCAATAAGGGTTAACGGGATAGGTAGGTCGTAGGGGGGAGTTTGCTAAGCGAGGGGTGGAGGGGATGCTCACCTGATATCAGTCGCCGACGCCCCTATCAGCACTTTAAATGTGCCCTCCTCCGCGATCCATGCCGGAACTGAATCATCATAGTATCCAACTGCGTACTTATCCAGCGGGATGATGATATGCTTAGTTTCTTCTGGCTGGAGCGATACCTTTTCGAACGCCACAAGTTCTTTCTCGGGGCGAGGTAGCCTCGACTTGTCGTCTCTGACATATATCTGGACCGTCTCTGAGCCAGCTACGCTTCCGGTATTAGTGACCGCCATGATTAGGTGGATTGGCGCCGACTCTGTCAGTGTCCTCCGGCTAAGGGACGGTCGGCCATACTCGAACGTTGTGTACGAGAGGCCATGACCGAACGGGAATAGGGGTGCGATGCTCGTCCGATCGTAGTGCCTGTATCCGATGTAGAAGCCTTCACCGTATAGAACACGTGAGTTCTCGCCGGGCCAGTTGTGGTATGCGGGAGTGTCTTCGAGCCGCCGAGGGAAAGTTGTCTGTTATAATTAGTCGACAAGATCGATGGGTTATTGGGGACTGCATAACTTACTGGAAGTTTACCACTGGGGTTCCGTCGGCCGAATAAGACGTCGGCTAACGCGTTCCCGGCTTCTTGACCCTGATACCAAGCCTGAATGATGGTCGGTACTTGGTCCGCCCAAGGCATGGTTACCGGCGAGCCGGATTGGTTGACTACAACCGTTCGCGGATTAGCCTTCACGACGGCCTCGATCAATCGATCTTGGCTTCCGTCGGAAGGAAGGTCCATCGTCTTTCGGTCATATCCCTCGGATTCCCACTCGGCATCGAGCCCAACGATAACGACGGCGACGTCTGCTTCTCTTGCTGCGTCTACAGCTTGCTGAAGATAGTCGACCTGATCTTCCTCCTTGAAGCCGAGGCGGCAACCTCCGTATTTATGTGTCATGTTGAAAACTTTCTGCTTGGCGATTGGTCGAAGCTCATTCGTCATCTCTACTCGTAGCTGTACTGGTCTTCCAGCTTGCATATCAACGTCAACCATATAATCGATAGAGCCGTCAAACATCGCCTCGCCTTCTTCCGTCCAATTCCAGAGGTCGAGAGCCAATTTTCCATCCACGTACAGCCTTCCGGGACCGACACTCATGAAACTGATCGTGTGCTTCCCGGTAGTCGTCGGCGTTATATAAGTCGTTGCTATAGCTGACCATTCGGGACCGAGTTGGGCCAGTGGTGCGGAGTCCCATAGGAAAAGATCGGTATTCGTTCTTCTCTGTGTGACGATTACGTTTCCCTGGAACTGATCTCCGCTAAACCAATCAAGAGTCACACCCGGCTCGCCCGACTTGTCGGTACAGAAAGGCGACGCGACCGGAAGCCACTTATGAATGTGACATCCTTGAGCATATACGACTTCCTGTTGTGCCGCTGTTATAATGCTATCGAGCGGAAGCGTGTTGTAATAAGGGTTAAGACTAGCGCTACCTCCACCGCCGGCAATGGCCCGGTTGGCGTTCGGACCGATGACCGCGACTTTGGTGGTTCTAGGGTTGAGTGGTAGAATCTGCCCTTCGTTCTTTAACAAAGTTAGACCCTCTGCTCCTGCTTCACGAATCAACATCCTCGTCTCTTCTCTGTCGTCTTCACGCTCGGCTTCTTCTGCCGACATATTATCTCCCTTGGTGCGTTCGACAAGGGTCAAGACGTTTTCTGCGGCAATATTTATATCGTCAATCGTAAGTTGACCATCATCGATGGCTTTCAGGACCTTGTCGAAGCGCCACTTAGACGAAAAGGGGAACTCTATATCACACCCTGCCTTTATCGACTCGACAGTCGAATTGACACCGCCCCAGTCGGACATGACGGTTCTAAGAATCCCAAATATCAGCTATCGATCTTAACTCGGATATGAATTAGACTTACCCATCATAGCCCCATTCTCCCCGTAGTATATCTTTGAGCGTGTGGTTGTTCATGTCGGCGTGAGTTCCGTTGACCAGATTATACGCAGACATGACGGCCCATGGGTTCGCTTCTCGTACAGCTATCTCGAACGGTCGAAGATAGAGCTCTCTCAACGGACGTTCCATCATCACCGAATCGATGGTAAGCCGATGAGTTTCCTGTTCATTTGCTACGAAATCTGTCCGACTATCAGTTGAAGTTCCGAATGCTAGTAGGTAGATGGTAGCGAACGCTTAATGGTCGCGGCGACTCCTTTGGACTGCAGCCCCTGTATATACCTAGAGGCAAGCTTGCCGGTGAGGAGCGGATCTTCCGAGAAAGATTCGAAATTTCGGCCGCCGAGAGGATGACGATGTATGCAGACTGTGGGGGCGAGGAGCACATTGGCCGACCTGGCCCTGACCTCATCGGCTAAGTGCTGACCAATTGTGTATAGCAGATCTTTGTTCCAGGTAGCCGCAAGCGAGATACCGCACGGGAATAAGGCTGCCTACGTAAGGACGATTGTTAGCAAGGACTTATAGCCTCGAGATCTTCGACTAACCTTGGTACCCCCAACAAAGATGCCTCCCCGAGCGCCATTAGGGCCATCGCTCGTCTTGATGGCTGGGATGCCTTTAGACGGTATCGACTTCGTCCGCCAGAAGTCCGCAGCAGTCAGTAGCGATACCTTGACAAGTTAGCGATCTGACAGCATCGAATTTCTCTGATTATATACCTTCTCCTTGAGGCTCAGTTGAGCTAGCTTCTGTCTCGCTAGCAACCGGCAATCTTTAGAGGCGACAACTTTTGGAAATGGACTTCCGGGAGGGGAGAATTCCGTATCTGGTGTCGTGTTGCTTCCGACACTCTCGTACGGTGATGCGTTGGGGTCTATCCCATAGAACTGCGCGTCGTCAATATGCTCCATATTCGAATAATGGCTAAAGACGTCTATTATTATAACCAGCTCTTCCAGGAAAATAGTCGCACGTGATCCACAGCGAGCCTTAATGTCTTCAGACGTTACCAAGAATAATATTAGTTAATAATGAGCTGAGAGTTCGCAAATACGTCGAGAAGACGCTAGTATATCGGTCAAGAAAAAGCCCTGTAGGGCGAAGCGAAGTCCGTCAACGAACCCGGTCCCAAGGTAACCTTTTCCCCCACGAGTATAAGGGGGATCTCGAAGGTTATATGAGTCAAGTACAGCTTCAGGACCGAACGCCAAAGTCGAGGAGATCTTACTTATGTATTAATGGGAGGAGGCAATACGACGTCACGGCCGAGACGATGGCAGCTATCTATCAAAGTATACGATGGGACCTTCGGTACATACGAAGACAGGGGTAATGGAATTCGGATGGTACTATGCACGAGAATACCGACCAGGAGGACAATGCGGTATTTCCCATAACGGACGTCTCAGGGCTATCGCTCACAAGTCGAGCAGGCCGTCGAAGGATTGACATGTTATCAATGGGTTTATTAGTTTCGATCAATGGCATATGCCGCAAAGCCGCCGAGAAGTGAGGAGTGGAGATAGAGTGTACGTCCCGGTGTCGACGTGATCTCTGGGTTGCTTTTAGTGCAACCATTGTCACTTGACAAGTCCGTCTACGAGGGATACTATATTGCTGGTCCTAACTAGGAAATACCCACATCGGCAGGGACGGACCGGAGGAGCGTTGTTTCAGGGTACTTGAGAGAAGACGAAACGAAAAGCACGCCCACGCAGCCACGTTGGTGTCGCGCGAATAGAGTGGGGGGCCGCTACGGGAGGACTTATCCATTCGGACGTGGAGCACGGGGGCAAGGGGTGGTATGTCGGACAAGGCGGTCAAGCGAGCCAAGATCCCAGCAGCGGATCACGAACTGAAAAAAAGGGTGGAGAGATAGCCACAGCTAAACGGTTCCTGGTTATATACTCTCTTTTCCTCGAAGCGGAAGCATGACTGCGACTGTGATTAGCTAGTGTATATCACGGTAGAGTGGTTATAGATTAGGAGGAGATCCACAAACCCTGCGAGTTTACAACTCGTAACCCTCCTCTATTACACGACATATATTCGCCGGTCATTGTAACGCATCCTAGGCGAACCGGATGGGTGGTTGAACCGTTACCTCACTTCTGGCCTAGCCGCCTAAGAGGTTTGGCCGTCTCCAAGGCCGGCGGAGGAATCGTACGGAGTATAGGGCGAATCGGATCGCCCTGAGCCTCGGGATACTGATGTACACTGCAAGTCTTTCTCAAGTAAGGCATTGGCGTCTACGCAGCCGGCCGTTCTATCCCTAAGCGGTTCAGCTAGTTGACAACCGATAAAACGGCATATCCATAAGAGATTCCAAGAGCGACTAGGAGGCTCAATGTATACCGAAGGGCTAGATAATATGAATATCGGACCAGTATCCACTTTCCGTTAGTCCAAGCTTGAACGGTATAGATCTATATAGATCTTAGCTACGTATTAATGGCGAGGAAAAGCATGATGCAATCTTATGAACCTCCCCCAAATCCTATACTCGTAGGCCAGAGCGGCGCTGAGTTGAGAATGATGGTTTCCCAAGTAGGTACCATAGCGGCAAAATGTGGGTTCGTGGAATGATTTGACAATGTCGGAACGGTTGGTGGGGGTGGAACGTTCCGCGGATCTAAGGCCTTTGATTGGCTGGATCTGGATATTAGTGGGGCGTTTCTTATGTAAGCAAGGTTTATTTTAAAATCGCATGTAGAATTGTTCCGCAAATGTAGGTAGCGTTCTACAATTTGTAATTATTCCGCATAACATTTTTTATAAAAATTTCGAAAAAAAAATTTTTAAAAAATTTTTTTTTTTTTAAGTTAAAATTTTACAAATTTTACCTTTTCGAAAATAAAGGTTATAAAGGCTAAAATCGGATAAATTTCTATCTTAAAATAATTCGATAAAATTAGCCACCTTATTCTATTAGCTTAAACGTTTAAACTTTAAACTTTATTATGGGGTTTATGGTTATACAAACGCGGGAGCTATAGGTTCAAGGCCTAATCTTTTCACTTTTTTTAAATTTTTTAACTTTTACCCCACTTTTTCACGTGAAAGTCACGTGAAAGTCACGTAAATAGCAAAAATTATTTTATTTTACGAAACTATTCTACATTTTGGGATTATTCTACGATGTTAGAATTATTCCACGATGTTGAAACGATTGGGTCTAAATCCAATAATTATTATATATAGCATAATTATCCAAGTTGGAAGCGTTCCACGAACCCATGCAGCCCCGCTATGGTAGTCAAGGAGTCTGGAAGACCTAGTGCGTCGAAGATCCTGTAGCGTATGTAGGTATGTTTGTAGGTACATCAATGTGTGTGCATGTACCTAACATACCTAACCTACATGCCCGTACATATGTAGGTGATCATGCATTTGAGTTGAAGGCGGGATTCCTCTATTAGGAAAAGTTTGAGGTGGTTTTACCAGTGGCAGTCGATAGCTCTTTCCGCTAAGTGGGAAAGATCCACAGCTATTTCACAGCTATTTGAACCTTACGGGACCCGATTAACGCATCGGGTTCACGGCCCGGAAGCACCCCGATTGGGAAAGACTAGGAAGGAAGCGCCGATTGACCAATAGTAAAAGTCTTACCTTATTTTTGCAACTTGCATAATACCTATCTTTCAAATCCCAAGACGACGAGTCAGGTCTACATATTTCGTTATCCTAATCTGGATTGAAGTCCCCCCCTGCCCCTAGGCTGGGCATGGGGATATTCCACATCCATGCTTGCAGTATGTACACTAGGACGGCGTCTTTCAGACATACGCTATGTACTATGTGAGTAAGTCCTGCAAGACAGGGTCCGTTTCCACGTGAAGCACCTTACTTTGGTTCGGTCTCGGTATAGCATACCAAGCTCTTCAACTGGGACCTTCTTCGGATCCAGAAACAAAACTCGATTGTTTGCAGCCGAAATTATTTCCACCATACTGATCGATTCGGCCCTGTTAGGTCCTCGCACCCGCAGAGGTTCAAGCATAGGTACATACCTTGGTACCTAGGTAGGTAACTAGAGGCTGCGACGAGTAAAGCGCTTCAGATTTCCGGGAGAAGTGGCCCAGCATTATGGATGACCTATCTACCAATGATCTTCCGCATACTTTCTTAGGCGCAGATAAATTAATCTGATACTTCTTCACCTAGGTGTACAACGGTGATTCCTTGTCGAACCCGAGGTTGATCAAGTCTTCTTCTGGAAATCCGATCGATAAGTCCAAGTCTTGGCTACTCTGACAGCCCGACCCGCACGACTCAAGGCCCCATGATAAGTAGGAATATCCGGGGGTCGCATACTTTTACCCGAGTTCCCGGACGTTCAAAATTTGTATTCATGGCGCATCTTCGCCTATCTTTGATGACACTATTTTTTTTAATATTTGTTTTTCACCTAGCTATCGTATATCTGAGTAATCTGTCGGCTGGCGCGTTACAGAGTCTATCTCGAAGGATTGACCAACCGCTATACGTTTCGATGACGCCACCCGCGCCGAGATCCGCCTTGGGGCTACGAAGCACGAACCCGACTCTCTTCGGCGGGCCGTCTGACCCACACTAGCTCTAGACGGTCATTAGGGTCGCGCGCCCCTCAAGATCTTTCCCCACCCCGGCCCTATTCCGCTTTAACTCACGGGCATTTTGTCAGCATGTACCGTCTTTGTTCGGCTCTACCGTAGGCGCAAGATACTTAAAACCGTAGAGAAGCGTCAGAATCGAACTAGCCTCGATTTTATTTCCTAGATGTTATGGTGAGACATGTCACATACCGTGCTCACAAAGTCTAAATAGCTCCCTATATCGCTAATAGGTAGCAGCTGGATAGTAAGGTTGTCACCTTAGGTAATATACCAAGCTAAAACTTCGATGGTAGCGCCCGTACACCATAAAGAACAAGGCGAGTCGTGATGAGGCTCATTAGCTTTGCAGTCTTAGCAACCCTCTCGCTTTCATATGAGTCGTCATATTCGCATTAGCACCGTTGCTTTGATCGACTTGGCTTCGGCAAATATATGAAACAAGGCAGGTAGATGCACAGATGCGTTCTAGAAACGAGTTTAGTCGTTGCGATTCTCGATCGTATAGTGGGCCGTCACGACCACGAACCAGGCGCGACTCACCTCGACATGCAGGAGAGCAAGGGGTAGAGCTGATCAATTTCCCATCCCCTACCACTGTTCCATCCTCTCGAGCCTCTTCAGAAGATAGCCAAACTCGATGGGAACTGATCTCCTGTGAACGAGGCTCGCTGGCAAAGTCCTAATAGGACCAAGTCACTCTCGTCCTAGATCATAAGGCTGATTGTGATCATTTCGGTATGTTGGACCGGTTTATTAATCCCATCTCGGTATTTTGCTTTTTCATCGAGTAAATATCACACTCGCCAGCTGCGTGAATAGTTATTAAATCGGGTCCGGATTGGCTCGGAAGTTTTATCCGTGGCCTGTCAGTTAATCTATTTTGCCTGCAGCCTACATATTGTGGCTGAAGAGAAGGGCATCACTCTTACCATATATGGCCTCGCTAGATACTTGGAGGCTTGGAGGTCACATTCTTCTCATGTTGCTTCGACTTAGCGGTTGGCTGACCGACTAATGCAACTCGGTTCTCATGCAGTATTGCGCCGTCCGTAGTTCGGATCGAAGTATCCAGTTATGTCTTGACCTTCTTACGCACGTGGTGCTTATCAATCTTATCCCAACGTCCTATGGCTCTTAATACAGCTCCTAGGACTCGTCGATACGGATTCAACTAGGAGGACCGTTCGACATTCCGATGAAGAGGCTTCCATATAAAATGGGATATGCACATGCGGGAACACCTTTAATAGCCATAAATACAATTCGGAGTGCATCATATCATTATTGCCTTGGCGCGGACCAGCTAACCCGTTCGGCCTTGCGAGGTAGCCCTCAAGCACACATTCAGGTTATATTAGAACGTCATCTATGTTAGCACTTATGGGAGTCCTTTACGCGGTTGGTATATTACCTACAACGAGATCCAAGTTCCGGCTATTCACTTGCTGGAAACCCCTTGGCTGCCTGCTGGCTGGTACGCATCCGCAAGCTTGACGACCTTGTCCGGGGTTTGTCGCGTCTGGAGATACCAACAAGCGTTGATCCAAGGTCGCGCATTATCTGGCGGGTTCGAACCGACTTCTGTTATCTTGGTATCCCTCGCGGTGCGTCGTGTTGTCTTTAGTTGGTATACTCCGATATGCAAGCCGGCGGCTGATGCTCCCCAATCGAAGCTCTTAGCTATCCTCTTCGGCTTTGCGGTTGTTATTGGCACGCCATGACACATGTCGCGTACTACTTAAGTAATAAGTAGCTCCCATAATAAACCCCCACGGTTTCGGATAGTAGGGAGGTTACACTACTTTGAACGACGAAATCATGGATCTTCGCGCCGCGCACATCAACTTTGGGAGTTTGGTCTTTCCTTACAACTCCCGAGGTGGGAAGCCTATCATGCGGTAAGTTAGCTTCGCAATCAGGCACGTCTAGCCGTCGGTCACGAATGCCTTCCCACGACTCCAGATGAACGACCTTCGATGGAGTAGGGTTGCATACTTGTGCCAGCGAGCTTCTAGAAGCATCACTATTAGGGTCACGCGAGAGATGGTCCCTAATTAAACACGAGACATAGACGAGAGGCAGGTAGCTGACGTATGTTCTCGCGTAGGAACACTAACTAAGAAACCCCCAAGATCTCAGGGAAGGAATCTAATATAACACACGATCTCTTTACTAATACCCTCCCCTTGCCTGATAGACCGTTCCGCTGGGATGAACGACCCCTCTTTCACCATCAGTCTCGACTGCACACTCTCTCGCTTAGATGCGCAGTACCTACTCAACAATAGCCGGAAGTTGGTAAATACTCCCCCCGCATAGACAACTTATCCGTAACTCGACCATATAATAGTAACCTAAGGCTCATTTATATTTCGGCCTTGCGTCGCTAGATCCCATCAGTGTAGGCACGAACCTATAGAGGCAGGTAGCTAGTCGGTTGACCCGCGTATACCACGTTTCTCCAGAGTACCCTACGGCGGCCTGCAGATCGGCCCTCTCTTGCAAGTTTCAAGACACCTTTAGGTCATCCGCATCCAACTTGCTTCTCACCGGTGGGATTATCGTAACAATCGACGTACACTGCCGACATGCACCACCCGTTTGGCAGCAGATACTATTTCGCGCGAAGATGAACGGTTACGTCCCGTTCCTCCCGCGGCCAGGGCCCAGGATGACACCTACATCGTGACCGCTACTCAGGAATAAACACTTACTTCGTCCGCCTGCATGAGCATCAATGAGGGTATATACAGGTCTGCTTCCCCGCCTCTAAGTGGCGATAGAGATGCTACGACAACAAGTGGTCACGGTTGGCGCATAGGTGCGGTAGCCCTGCAGTTGAATGCCCCTGGATCTTAAGTTAGTTTTATAGACCAATACGGTAATATCTCCTTGAACCATCGCCGCTAGAGTCATAACCTACCTATATTCATTTGTCTCAAAAGTGAAGTATGGGTTTAATCAGGTACTCACATAAACTGCTACCCAGCCCATTAAGACAGCATGAGCGCGATTAGCTCGCCTGAACAGCATAGAAATACTCGTAATTATATGTACATAATATAGTGAGGCAATGGTGACAAACCATTGAACCCCCTAGGTGGTCGGTGGGATCGACAGGCTAGGCCGCAGGCAAGGAGACCACTCCAACTCCAATCGAAGACAAGAGCATTGGCATTGCTATATCCTCGAGGAAAAGATATGTTACTAAGGCTATCGTGCTTGTAATTCGGCTTCGATGTCCTGTGACCATATCCATCATTCTCATCAAACGCCTTTAAGCAAGCTCGATTACTACATCTCATCCCCCTATTCCCGAAGAAGCCCGCTTGCAACCCGCTAAAACATGGGCTCTCGCGAAAGTCTGTCTAAGGCGGATCATAGTCCTCATTATGAATGTTCCGCATCTATAGGCGAGGATACTTCGGTGATCGATTTATACGATGCCTCCCATACTACACTCGGAGACTAACCCATGGCTGAGGGGAAGACCTCCTGTAACCGGCTTTGGGGACTAACGCGGGGATTTGCGGATTTGGACTGCTTACTGGATGGGTTTGACATTCTAGGTAGTATTAATGGTAGGGACAGCGGTCTTGGAGGGTAATTACACCCTGTCTATACTGGTGATGACTTTACCTTTTCATTCACATTGTCCCCAATTTCTCAATCTCTATCCTATAACCAAATTCAACACATATTGTACGGATTTGGGCTGGTTCGTAGTTTAACCCGAGCCGATTAATCCCGTTCATGTATTTTGTCGGTGGTAGAAAGTTTGCTGAATGTTAGGTGTGTTATCATGAGTCCCCAGGAAAGGTGTTCACAAGGGGCTCCAGCCTTTGTTTATATCTCATTTTTATTTCATACTATTTCTACTTAGATAGAATCCGAGGTCTTAAAATCTTAGATGGTAATAGTATATTCAACATCATGTTAACAAATCTGCTAATCATTCTAGTACCACTGTCTTTATAGGGTCTAGCACACCGACATCTAGGATCATGGCCCTAGAGCATCGAACGGCCAAGTATCAGTTTATGTATAAGATATATCAACAGACAAGCCGTATGCCTTCGGCGGCGAGCACTTCGTTTACTCGTCTAGGCACTCGAATGAGCACGGAAAAAGATTATAAGCTGAGATTCTTTGTAAGAAAGAGACAAATTTAGGAAGAATTCTGCAGACAAGAACGTATTAAATCACTTCCTAAACCACAAACGTATCGGTGTCAGGAAGTGAGCCCCCAAGCACTCCAGCCAAAGTCTCTTTCAGATAAATAAGCCGGAAAAAAAGACTAGGGTAAGAATACTCTAATGATATGATGGCTGTTGCTTCTTTAAGTATCAAGATGGTGAGTCTAACTTCATCTGAGAGTGCCTACTACCCGGAAAACAACATATAATTATCGATGGGGTCTAGGGGTAACACTACTAGGTAAATCTATATAATACCATTTTTCGGCCATTTGTGATTAAATACCACAACAGGACTTCTCTGTCCTACATGTGATGATTATTGCTATAGCAAACCATATTGGAGTGTGACAAAACTTGTCGTAGAGAATAGAAAGGTGATCACTGTCGTTAACTTCTAATAAACTCAGCCCAATAGATTCTGGTCAAGGTAGCAAGGCAAAATATTCTACAAGACGTTGACAAATCTCACAGCTCCGCTTCAGGCGTCGATCTGTCGGCTTGGGGAAAACTTGAATGCTAGATATTATCTTCAAATCAACAAGAGTCGTGGTAATGCATAGTGGAAGCGGACCGAAGAAAGACTTGTATCGTGAGTCTATGATGTCGACTACATATCGGACGTTGTAACAGGATTTACTATCTCAAAAGCCAACAAGCTCCTCAAGATCGTTTAAGTGGATACGGTCCTAAGGGTGTTCTTTAGAGGCGTGGAAGAATGAGTCGACGGTTAGTAATGGGTTGTTGTACGCGTAGAGAGAAGCTAAAACCGCGATGTAAAGTATCGCATTTACCTAAAAGACTGTAATTCAAAGAGGGTTAGAAAAGTAAGTTATGTCACTGCTGTCAAAACTTCAAGTCAAAAGGTAATTTTGGTGGGCCGTGCTGTGCGGGCTCTGTGCGTGAGTTTGGGTGGCTACTAGATTTAGATTTAATAAATGCATTTCTTTTTAATGCTTGAGAATTTGAAAATTAGGCTCGGTTGTAGACTTTAGTCATAAGAGACGTTGAAAGTGGCTGTTGGTGGCGGTTGTAACCATGCTGAGTAAAGGGGCTTTATAAGAGAAGGGCGATTATTCATCCCTAGAAAACATACTACCGGCTTCTCTGGCCTTAGTCATAAAATATTCTCCTACATAGACCTTCGACCCGTCTGTCCGTTCAAGGGAAGATATGGTATTGATGCTATTATTATTTTATTCCTATTATGGTCGTTTGCATATTGGGACCCAGGGAGACGTCCGGTATTGAAAAAGGGCAACATTGTTCGGAATGGAATGGGTTCCGAATATTGTTTGCCGAGAATTAAAATTGAGGTGCACATTCCAACACACGAATAATTGTTGAAGCACGTCGTTTGATAATGGGTCAGATATATAGCGGTACGACATCATAAGGTTTCTTAGGTGCATAACCTACCACCTGCCATCCGGTCAGCCCGATTTTAATGGAAACCCCAATCATTTGGCTATACATAGGTACATAGGTACTTCGCTGCTGCTATAATACATACCCGCGTATTCCGCCCTACTACTTTCCATATAAAGCGGTCCAATGAGATGCTCTAACCTACATAAATAGAAAGAACAAGCGGCAAACCTCTATGATATAATAGTGCCATTAGTCCCTCAGAAGTTCCCTCTCTTTCCTCAGGAAGCCAATCGGAACCAGAACAAAGATCCTTCCATTTAGCTGCATCTGCCAAGGCAAGGTCCGTGCTTCATCTGATAACAAAATCCCCGCCATTTGTGATTTCCGAACAGTGCTCCGACCTGAACTTGCGTTTTATCCATTACATGTCTGCATGTTATGAATCTTTGATCGCCCGTTAGGCTCCACAAGACAGTCCCCCTGCGCTTCTGCTCAGCCGTTTCCTAAAAGAACCAGAAGAAACCCCCAATTCTTTCACTTTTACGTCTCAAAAAATCCTCGTCTGTTTCGCCTGTTTCGAAACGTCAATATTTCGTTGCCCCTGCAGCCCTGTCGGCTAGCATTCAGACAATAAATACCAAGGTGCCGGCCGTTGCATGGCTACGACAATTAGTGTCTAATAGCCACTCGGGCAGCGACTAACGGGCACTTTTAATTACACACTTAACTTTTTCTCTTATCACACCGAGCGAGCAACGCCGGGCCGGCCTAGATTTCTCTATTGTCTAGGTGAACCCGCAATCCCGGACCATCGCCACTAATCTTGTCCCCCTTATTTTCTTCTTCTTCTGTCATACATAACCGCAGGACAAGAAGCGAACGAGCTCCGGCTCCATCACATTATTCGACAAACCTCTATCGATTAGTCCAGCATCAAAACCGACGCAATGGCTTGGTCGAAAACCACCCGGATCAGCATAATGCTGGCCATCGATATCGTCTTCTTTCTCGTGGAGTTGATATCAGGTTTTATGGTCCATTCCTTGGCATTGATGGCAGACGCGTTCCACATGCTGAACGATATCATCTCGCTGATTATTGGTCTGTGGGCTGTGACTGTTGCTAAGAGAGAAACTACCAACAAATTTTCTTACGGCTGGGTTCGCGCCGAAATCCTCGGTGCTGCTTTCAACGCTGTTTTCCTAATTGCCCTTTGCGTCTCCATCATTCTCGAAGCGTTAACTCGGTTCATCGAGCCTCAGGAAGTCTCGAACCCGAAACTCATTCTTATCGTGGGCTGCTGCGGGTTGGCCTCGAATCTAGTCGGGTTTTTGGTTCTGGGAGGACACGGGCACGATCATGGCGAACATTCCCACGATGACGAGCACGGACACGAACATGTTCACAAGCACGATAGCATTAGAGCCGCTGAGGAGGGCAGAGTAACCGCTACCGAGGCATTGTTAGACGAGAACGCTCCGGTGGGAGATATATTGCCCGAAGTTGCGGTAGCAAGAGCCCGTGCTGCGAACGCCTCGCCAGAGACCGTTCGTCACATCCAATTTGAGCAACTAGGAAGGCCGGATCTCCACGAACGCGCTAGTCAGAGCTCCGTTCCTAGGGGAAGAGAGCGTCGACGCGCAGGTAGCCTTAAGCATAGCCGCCTAGCTAGTATCGATGACTTCAGCATCCACCCGGCTAGCTTTAGACAGGATATCATCGAACATAGCCGATCCAGCCGTAACGAGGAGACTGATGAAAGTTCTATTGACGATGATTATACGGACTCTCCTGTTCGCGAGGAATCAGCTATTGACGAGACCACACCCCTAGTAGCGAACGAGCGTGTGGCAGATAAGGCGTCCGCTCAGAAGGGTTACTCAGGCCGGTCGGGAAGTTCTCATCGTAATCACCGTGGCAGACGTGACTCGGGGACGCACTTGGACCACCATCACAACAGGCCGACGTCCAAGTCGAGGAAGAAGGGACACGGTCATGGCCACAACCACGCCGACATGGGTATGAACGCTATGGTCCTCCATGTCTTGGGTGATGCTCTAGGAAACGTTGGTGTCATTGCTACCGCTCTGATTATCTGGCTAACTGATTGGTCGGGACGATACTACGCTGATCCGGCTGTGTCATTATTTATTACCCTCATCATTCTCAAATCGGCAATTCCCTTGACGAAAGCGACAGCCCAGGTATTGCTACAGGCTACGCCAGATCACATCGATATCCAGGACATTAAAGAGGACATCCAGGCTCTACCAGGCGTAATTAGTTGCCACCATGTCCACATCTGGCAGCTTTCCGACACAAAGTTGATCGCGTCGCTGCACATACAGGTCGCGTTCCCAATCACGAGTGAAGGGGGGGAGAAGTACATGAAGCTCGCTAAACAAGCACGGAAATGTCTCCATGCCTATGGCATCCATAGCGCCACTATCCAACCCGAGTTCTGTCTAGATCAAGACTGCGTTCCTATCGACGACGGCTCTACGACGCTTGACGGACAAGCCTCCCCACGCTACCCACCCGATATGTGTCTTCTAGAATGCGTAGATGACTGCGTGGGCCAAAGTTGCTGTCCGCCACCTTCGCAGACTGCCTCTAAGGCAGGATCGAGCCGCAGGTCTAGTCACTCGGCATCTCACGATCACGACGAGGATAGCGATCACGGACATGGACATCACCACCAGGGGTGATTTGGCCGACAGAGAAAAGAATTACTTGTAACTTTAGACGTTTATTATCATTGGGCTGTCATTATGGTGTGAGAATAGTATGGTACTGCTCGGCTCTGGCTAGACAGACTACATAGATGAGCGTCTCTTGTGTTTTCTAGTACATGTCTAATAGTGCGCAGGCGTTTAAGGCGAAAAGGCAGAGCGAAAAGGCAGAGCGAGGGCGGTCAATCATAATGTACAAATCAGGCTCCGAAATGCATGTTTACTCATAATGCAATGCATTTCATTTCTTGCGATGCTCGAGCGGACGGTGACAGAGATGTAGATTTGGATTGCTCGGAGGTACGGTCTATACGATGTGTACATAGAGTCATAAGTGTATGTACATGGTTTCTTCTAGGATGATTGTATGGACTAGGTTAGGTAGATACCTGGCTATATGCCTGCGATATTAAAGATGAGGCTCGTGAGATGATTCATCACAGATGGATATCGGATACTTTCCATGGTATCGTGTAGGGAGTTATATCCGACGTAGCATTTCACGTGGACATTTGAAACTCCGCGTTTGCTTCACTCACCCCCTTTGAAATTTAAGCATAGCGCACGGACGCTTACTTTATTTTTTACCGATTTGAATTCGCCTCGTCTCATCTCACCTCTGCGTTGACGAGTTGACAGTTATTTCATGAGGTGGTATTTATCCGTACATACCTACCTAGGTATTCAGCCATCGACAGCCTCGTAACTACTGCTACATATTTCCGCCTTATCCAGCATGAGAGTTGGCGATGCTATTCTACGAATATTGATTGATTGCATACAGCTCATGTATCTCACGTTTGATCATCTCGTCTGAGCATTAAACCCGTCTGTAACAGGCAAGGGGCATGAATGATCGCCCGCGACCATGGTTCTCTCCAGACAAGGCGCGAACGCCTCCGCGCGCGCTCTCTCTCGATATGTATGGGAGTCTGTAACGGAGCGACTGCCACTGCCCCCTGGGTATATCAATCATTCCTCGCGATGCATGATGGGCTACTGATCGGGGTACTGGATTAACGCCGTTCACGCATTCGCGCCCGGGATGGCTGCGCCGGTGGGCGTGGTGTGAAACCGGGTTCGGTAGGTTCGAATAATTGCATCGATGTGTCTGTCTGTCTGTCTGTCTCTAGTTTTTTGAAAGCTGCTTTTCTCTTCTCTTTTTCTATTTTCCGGTTCTATGCCGCTCTTTTGATAATATCAGCCTTCTCTCACCTACCCATTCTTTTCGTTTTCTGGCTCGCCGGTTCGGGATTCCTGTAGTCTGTTTGAATCTGCTCTAGTTGAGCGGTCGTGTTCCATTCTCTGAGAGCTTGGTTCTTTCTCTTTTCTTCGAGTCATTCTTTTTTGGTTAGGAGGTAGTCAGATCGACGATACGGTCATCATCATGAGGGCTACGAATACCGCCGCTGCCGTAGCGGCGTACGTTCTCTGCTGCCGTGACCTGGCATCGGCTGGTCCCGTGCAGAAGCGCGGAGTGCTGGACCCCTTGTTTGAGATCACGACTCTTGGGGGCATGACGTTTAAGATCAGTCAGGTTCCGAATAAGAAGTTCTACGGCCGGCGTAAGGGAAGGGGGTCTATGGCTATCGCGAAGGCGTATTCGAAATACGGCGCGGCGATTCCTGATGATTTGCTCTCTGCTGTAGAGGAGATACTGAAGGAACTCGGGTTATTAGGGAACGGTGGGGCTGGGAATAACACGGCTGCTGATCCTCAAGGTTATAACCATTCCCTCTTGCTTTTACTGCCTTGACTTATCTGTTTCTAGGCGAGGTAGCAGCGGTTCCGCAGATGTTTGATTCCGAGTATTTATGCCCGGTAGAGATCGGTACTCCCCCGCAGACTTTGAATCTAGACTTTGACACGGGTTCGTCCGATCTGTGGGTATTTAGCTCCGAGACACCAGGGATTCAAGTCATGGGCCAAGATGCCGTATGTATTTATTGACTCCTTGGACCAACCGTTACTAACTTCCTTTGCTCTAGTGGGATATTGAGCAGAGCTCGACGGCTCAGCTGCTAACGGGGGAATCATGGGCTATCAGCTACGGCGACGGCAGCAGCTCCAACGGTAACGTGTACTTGGACAAGGTCTCGGTCGGTGGAGTTACGGTTCAGAATCAAGCAGTGGAGTCAGCTCGTAACGTCTCGGTGTCGTTTACGCAACGACCTGATACAGACGGGCTTCTAGGATTGGCGTTCGGTTCTATAAACACGGTTAAACCTACCCAGCAGAAGACTTTCTTCGAGAACGCGGTATCAGATCTCGCGTCTCCTCTATTCACAGCGAATCTGAGGAAAGCAGAGCGTAAGCACATCACGAACCAGTGCTTATTATTATGCGGATAGTATACTGATAGATCACAGCGGGTAATTACAATTTTGGCTTCATTGATGCGACCGAGTTTACTGGACAAATCACATTCGTACCTGTTAATTCGTCCTCCGGCTTCTGGCAGTTTACCGCCAAGGGGTACTCGATCGCCGGCTCAAGTGCCGTTTCTGCGCCGCACGAAGCCATCGCAGACACGGGCACTACCCTCCTGCTTCTCCCGCAAGAGATTGCAGACGCGTACTACTCGCAGGTGCAAGGAGCCGTCAACGACGTACGGGGAGCAGGGGGATACGTCTTCCCGTGCTCCGCCTCGCTGCCGGATTACACGGCGATGATCGGGAGTCACCAGGCCGTGATCCCCGGCGACTTCATCAACTTCGCACCCGTGGACGGCGACACGTTCGAGGATGCGACGACTTGCTTCGGCGGTATACAGGCTTCGCCGGCAACTTTCCCGCTTGCTATTTATGGGGATATCTTCCTGAAGGCGCAGTTCGTAGTCTTCCACGGAGGTAATAACGAACTTGGATTTGCTAATAAGCCTCTGTGAGGGATTGGGTCGTATTGCTTAGTCCGTACATAGCTAGAGAAGTTAGCTAGCTATATTATATGTATGCATGGGTTTGGTATAGGCCTGGTATGAATGGTTTACTCTGTATAAAGTCCAGAATTAGTGATCTGCATTATGAATATATACATATTAGACTTTGGTTATGACCGTATTTTAGTCTGTAAGGTCAGTTCAGTAATCCCAATTTTGATAATCAGATTCATAACTAGGATAAATCTAACGCTTTCTAACCTAGGAAGTTCATGTAAGTTACCTACACCTAAGTGAGCTACCTAATTAAAACCCAAATATCACTCGCGCTCGGCACTTCGGTCGCTTGTCCCCTCCCGATTTAGATCGGATTCGTTCTCGCCTGTTAGAGGCGAAGTTGTCATTATCAAATCGTCATCCTTCGCGAGAGGTCTGCTCTCATCCTCGTCATAATCGAAGCTAACAAAAGCCGGCTTCGTTGTTGGTGGGGTTCATCGCCAACACTCTTGGGATTCTCCCTCTCGCCTGGCCTGACATCACACCACTCGCTGGTCCTCAGCCGTCCTCCGGCCACACCATGAGTGGTCGCACTGCCTCGGTTACAATACATACGCACGAATGCGGAAATAAATAATAAAGATAGTAACGGATAATATCGCCGTTTCTCCATTTGTTTCCAAGTCCTATTTTCGAAGCTAATTATAGGCACCTGAGCACTTACATAAGTAGATGCGATAAAAGATTCAGCGAAGAGTCGTATGTATTTAAGTTCTTATTAACCAACTTATCGCCAACACACCCGGGAAAGTCTAATCGGCCCCGGATATACTTCCTCTTCGCCGAGCCGGTTGTATCCGATCCGAGTCTCATCTCACGGTTATAATCCCCCCATACTCCCCCATACAAACTCCACTCTCACTCGCCCGCACCCGGAACACTTACATACACACGCAACCACCACCACAATGAGCCTCCTCCAAAAGAAATACGCGGCCCTCATCAACCCGGACGTCCTCCGAGCCCACCAAAAACCCATCCTCCTCGCCACCGGCATAACCGCCGCCGCCGCCCCGCTGCTCGCCTACGCATGGTCGTGCTACCGGCAATGGCTTGCCCTCGGCCCCGGCGGCGTACCCTACCACTTCCTCGGCTGGCTCCTCCAAACCAGCATGCACGTGATCGCCCGCTCCGACACCCGGGAGCCCCTCCCTAGGCCGTACACGCGGCTAGAAGACGTAGCCGCACTCTACGGCGCCGCGGGGGCAAAGACGTACTTCGGCAACGGCCAGGGCCAGATCCCCAAACGCAAGGGCGACCGCCCTACCATCCCGACGTTCGTCGCGCCCCAGCGGCAGACCTCGGATGTTGCTTCCCCCGCTACCGTAGCCGCGGAGAAGGCGTTCCTGGATGCTTTGGCCGCGGCCAACGCCTCGCTCTTCGAGGTCCGGACAAGCAAGCTCGAGGGCCCTCTGCACCAAGCCTTATGGCTACGACTCCCCTCCGCGTCGCCCGACGACGCCGAGAAGCAGAAGACTCTCCTGGAATTACGTACCCGACTTGGTAGGGGGTCAGGCGGAGAGTTCGCCCACGTGCACGGCGAGGGAAGTGCTCATGTGACGCTCAGCCCAGCGGACGCCAAGGCCGCGATCGAAGCCGGGTGGGCGGAGCGCCATCGACTAGCCGGTGTCTGGGGGTCGCGCGCCGTGGTGCCGTGGGGGTACGTCCTGGTATACGCGCCGCGCGACGAGGCTGAATTTGCGGTCTTCCGCGAGTTTATACTTGCCGGAGCGCGGTATGTGACCGAGGGTGCTGGAGCTGAAGTTGTTGCTCCGGCGGAGTGAATGTTTGGGGGGGGGGGAGCCTGGGTAAGGGCGTGAATGGAAGGAGTAAAAGGGTGTGTATAGTTGGTTGGCTGGTATATACTTGCATAGGTACCTATCCGATATACCGAGGTCGAGGTCTATGTTACCTCGTGGTGGACCTGTGGAGGGGGGTCATATTCTGTGTTTGAAGCTTGTGGCGTTGGGGAGAGGTTATTACAGGTAGTATATGCGAATGTGTGATGGGATATTCGAAAATGCATCGGTACAGAAAGCGGTTGGGACAGTGAATAAGGCGAGATCCAGGACGAGGAGAGATGTGTATAATTACGAGTATACTCTTCTCCATTTATTATAAATTTGCTGCGTCAATATCACTACTGGTTTCCTCGCTTGAGGCTGTATTGTACCGATCTCCTTGAGTTGCCGAGTTGCCGAGTTGCTAATTTTATTAATAGGCTGCACCATGATTCTACTTTATTTACGACCCTGTTAAACGCTAGGGTATCTAATTCTATCAGATGCTCTCTTCGTTTACAAATCACCAAGAATAGCTTTGAGTTGTACAATGCATCCAAGGGTCTAGCCCCCAAGCAGGGGGCAAGCAATATAATCCATACTACTGCTGACGGTATATAGTTCAAAATTATAGGTAGCATTTGCTACTATATCTATGTCTATTCATCGGGTATCTTCACCGGGACCTACGCTACGACACCGAACAGCTGCGGGCACTTCGACCTCGATCTGGGATAGGTAACCTCATTGAAGAGTCTGTTTATTGGTGTTACTTTTGGTCATCCTCTGCCAGAAGCATTTCAGATCAGCAAACTGTCGTTCGTCATATTTCGATATGCTATGGCATGCCAAAAAGCCAAAATCTATCCAGATTATAGGGCGCACCCGTAGCTACAGCCTCTTCCCCTGTACGCCATAGGTAGGTAAAAACAAGACATAAAGAGGAGTGGGTATGATGAATTGTATGCAAGAAAAAACAACTCGCCCTCCATGCCTCTAGTCGCTAATCATCTTTCGTTAAACATAAAAAATCAAGAGAGACGCTTCGTAGCAGCAACATGATGGTAGGTGACTCTTAGTCGTGACGAGCAATATATTTTGCCCATTCGCTTCCTTCCAAAGGTGTTGGTTATCATGGTCTCGTGGCAGATTGGCGCGTTAAACAAAGGAGAGCAAGAAAACGTATCAGATCGGAGACGAAACGTCACCTAAACGTAGTTGTGTATGGACCTTCGACTTTGACGTCTCTGATCCCATCCGGCATCATACGAAGCCATTCGGCCCAGCTCTCAAGGTTGACCACCTCCTCGGTCAACCGCATCGAAAATGTCAACTGAGGGCCGTGGAGGTTCTCGGGGTACAGCACCCGAGGTGGTTGCGGCGGAGATAACGTAATCGAAGGTAACCTCGAGTTACCCGAAATTTGTATGTGCAGCGGCGAAGGGAAGCTTAGTATCACCCCCTTCTCCGGGTGCTTGTCTTGGATGATCTTAGGGTAGACGGATAGGAGTTTCGAATGCAGCTCAGCGGCTGACAGGGGATTCGGAAATCGTTGGGTGGCCCGTGTTCGGAGTTGGTCAGCTAGCGTTCTCGTAAACCCGTTTCGGTCCAACACGTCAAAGTAGTCTTCCGAGGACGAGGCCGCAATGAGCTCCAACACCCCCTTCTGCCGGACCATCTTTGAAGACGGAAAGTATGCAGCATCCATTACAATGAGAGTGTCCGAGCGCGCTTCCTCTAATATCTGTTGTATACCGCTCCATCGAATAGTCGAAGCCTTCGCACGGTCCCGAGAACTATCTGGGGTTAGATCGTCGGAAAAACAAATTTGACGTTTCGACAGCTCACCTTGCCAGAACCATCTCCCTATGCTCGTCCAAGTAACTATACCCGTTGTAGTACACAATTTTCAGAACGTCCCTGGTGTCGCTTTTGTCCGTGAAATCGTTGATTATCCGCGAGAGCCACCTCCACGAGTTAGTGCAGCCGTCCGACGACGACGACGGAATCTTGAGCACCTCGTACGCAAAATGGTAGTACTTATCGAAGACCCCGGCCAGTTCTTCTACCGCGGCCGCCACGCCGGGGTGCTCGTCATCCTGCCAGTAGATCAGAAGCGCGCAGACGCTGCTATAGCGACTGCGGTAAGGCGAGGATAGAATCCTCGACGCGGCATTCTCTAGGTCTACCTTGATCGAGTCGATACTTGGCAGGGGTACGAAATGGTTCGGTGCAGCAGCCAGGGGAGACGTGGAGATGGGTTTCTCCAGCCGCGGGCCTGACGGAAGAGGCGTCCGGATCCTAGCGTCGCTGAGCGGTGGCCGCCCTGGCGTATTATGGGTGTTGTTAGGAGTAGCGGGGGTGGAGTCAATTTCCATCTCTTGAGCATCTTGGGGGAAGTGATGTCTGACACGGGCTGCATGGTTTGGCGCGGGGCTGATCCGGCGACCAGGCAGGGGCGCGAGCTCCTGCAAAGGGCTAGACGAGCGATATTTCCGCATAGCATCTTCCCACGTCATATTATGATGGTTGGGGTGACACTTGAGAGGGTAATCATGTGAGCGTCATATTGCTAACGAAATTTAAGATAGGTAGATCGTAATGTGTGACTTACAGCAACCCTCCGCCTTCTACAGTCGGCGCACGCGCCCAGCTTCCGAATCAGTGCGGCTTTCTCCCTCTGCTGGGCAGATAAAGGTCCCGTCCTCCTACGACTAGCACGACGATTGTGCGAGATCTCTGATCCATCCTTGACCGAGAAGATGGACTGTGACGACTCTACGCTATAGGCCGTCGAGTTAGTGTCAGCCGAGACATTGGAGATTGTCGTCGTATCGGTAGTGATTGTCGACGTGGATGAGCCCGTGTCCTTCCTCATGGGCGTCGCCGACTGGCCTGGTGATGCTGGAAGGCTTCCATGTCGCACGTGCTCGGGGTGTGTTCCCTGGTGCGGTTGAAGTTGTTGCTGAGCAGGTTGATGATGGTGCCCGCCGGACTGTGATTGCTGCTGCTGCTGCTGCTGCTGCTGTTGTTGCTCATGCTGATGAGAGACGTGTTGACCTCTATCCTCACTCTTGCTGTCTTTAGGAAATGACTCCGACAGACTGGGTGCAGGATGCATGTCGTTCTGGGCGCTCACACAGCGATAGCACGGCTACCTCATAATGAAGGGTGACGAAGAAGGCTCGGAGGAGCACTAGATGGGAAGTTTGAGGGATTCGAGGGATGCTAGCACCGGGAGTGGAGAATATTAAACGAGGGTGATAGCAAAATTGCCGCGAAGTGAAGAAAGAAATATGTAAGAATATGTACGAATATGTATGGAGTTAATAGACCGTTAACAGACCTGTGGTTAGCAGACCGGGAACGAGTACAGCTGGTACCGTAGATCTAGCTTCTAGACGAAAAGCGTAGGCCGGTCTGGTCCACTAGAGACGTAGGTAAGGTATGTGGTAGGTATGTGGTAGGTATGTTGTAGGTATATGGTGTGTGGTGTGTATATGGTGTATGGCGTATGGTGTGTATGGTGTATGGGCAGTGGACGTATGAGATGGGAATGATACGGTTGTACGGTTGATAGGTATGGCGATTACATGCGACAAGGGCAATTATGCGACTGGTCAAAATGTACCTAAGGTATAAAGGTATAAGGTATAAGGTATAGAATAGGTACGATAGGTACAAAACAAAAAAACGATCCTATAGAAGGGAGTAGTAATAGTAACCCGTAGTAGCCCAACCAACTGCAACTTCCTTGAGAGACAAAACACAACCTTGGAAAGAAAGACCTCTATAGAAACATAGAAACATAGAAACGACGAGGATCGTATGCGGCTTCCGAGGCACTGTAATACAAGGCTCCAATGAGAGCTCGAGTTGCGGTTCCTGTTAGGTACTTGTACTATGTAAAGATTTGAATAGTGCGGGGCCGAGTTCTTTCCATCTTTCTCACCTACCTGATACATCACATCCAAGTATCTATACCACTTCAGATCCTAGAAGGAGTACCTCACCTTGACGATTCTGCATGGTACTCTCCCAAGATGGCGGCGGGGCCGGTCAGCATTTATTTCATGTACGCCGACATGCGACTACCTCATTCTTGTTTGCTACTATGTACATAATATAGCTCTAGTCTTTTTTTCAAAGTCCCTCTAAGTCCATCTCGTCTTAGATCGTCGTCTTCTCTTTTTTTCTTCTTTCCTTTCTCTTTTAATCTTCGCCCTTCTCAAAAACAAAACAAAAAAAAGGGCCGTTACGTATCATTCCCCGAAATTACAGCTTACCAAGGTCAACTTGTTTTATTACCAGTATGTACGGTTTAAAGACCTAATTACCAACCGATAATCTATATCGGCCGATAATAAAAAGAAAAAACACATGGGGGAGCGCCCAACTGCAACACAGCGAGACGTGAGGTTGCTCTCATGTATCGTTTCAATCTGATTTTGGCCGTGGCTACGGCGGATCTCAGGTAAACACGTGGTAGTCTATTCCCTATCCATTTTTCAAGTTGCCCGCCAATGAATCTATCCACCCACCAATCAGCGACAGCGCCAGCGCAGACGTCGCAGACATACAGCCCAGAGAGACGTGACACTCCGAGTGCCCACACGCACCCCCCCTAGCCCGTCGACCGTAGGCTCTTTCGGTCAAGAGGCGAGGCGCTGCGAGGCGACACAAGATCAGACACGTCTGCGCTGTGAGGCCACACATTACCTGCTACCTACCGACATTGCCAATGCATGCGAAGGATAGGAAAGGGAGAGAGAGAAAATTTAGATACCTTGCCTACCTTATTTACCAGGTTTTTTTTTTCTTTTGTCCCGGACATTTCCTCCACTTGCTACTACGTCCACGTCCTTCGCGCGCGGGTTGGCCCTTGTCCCGTTATTTTCTGCTCTTGTTTGTGGCCGTCTGCCGCCCTCATCCGATGCTGCGAAATGCAAATTCGTCACAGGCGAATATGCATCCTTCACTCGGTCTACGACGCGATGCCATGGATTAGCCCATGCATTCTGTCCCCTCCGGGTTGACTGATTTGTTCAGCCGATATGAGCTTTAT